TTGTGAGTGAGTGGAAGTCGCCTCTGTTGTGCTGGGAGTGGATGAAGTTACGCCAGTTGTCCTTCTGGTCGTGTGGCTTTCAGAGGTGGAGGGCAAGCTGGTCTCAGGGCTTGCTGTGCTGGAAGGGAGGCTACTCTCCACAACTCTTCCTGTCTCCACGGTGTGACGCAGTGTGGTGGAAGGCAACGTTTGCTCCTGCGGTGTGGTCGTTTTCACAGATAGGGGAGCAGATGAAATGTGGGTGGTGCTCTGGTGCTCACTAGTCGGAGAAGGAGGACTAGTTGACATGGGTGTGCCAGAAGAGACCCCTTGAGGACTAGGAGCTGCTGAGGAAGCGATGGAGACCGTAGTTGTCTTCAGAGTGTGTGGTGCAGAAGAACTAGAGATAGCAGATGTCGCGGGATGCGATGTCTCCTGGCTCAGCGTTGGGATATGACTGGGAGACAAACTTGAGGGAGAAGACACCACTGTACTTTGGGACGTTTCCAAGGTCGGAGCTGGAGAAAGAGATGAGACTTGTGAGTGAGTGGATGTCGTCTCTGTTGTGCTGGGAGTGGATGAAGTTACGCCAGTTGTCCTTCTGGTCGTGAGGCTTTCAGAGGTGGCTAAGGTGGAGGGCAAGCTGGTCTCAGGCCTTGCTGTGCTGGAAGGGAGGCTACTCTGCACGACTCTTGCTGTCTCCACGGTGTGACGCAGAGTGGTGGAATGCAACGTTTGCTCCTGCGATGTGCTCATTGTCAAAGCAACAGGAGGAGATGAAACGTGGGTGGTTCTTTGGTGCTCAGTAGTCGGAGAAGGAGGACTCGTTGACCTTGGTGTGCCAGGTGACACCCCTTGAGGGCCATGGTCTGCTGAGGAAGTGATGGACACTGTAGTTGTCTTCAGAGGTTGTGGTGCAGAAGAACTAGAGACGCTCGATGTCACAGGACGCGATGTCTCCTGGCTCTGGCTTTGGATGCGAGTGGAAGAAATAGACAATGTTGAGGGAGAAGACACCACTGTGCTTTGGGACATTTCCACAGTCGGAGCTGGAGAACGAGATGAGACTTGTGAGTGAGTCAAAGTCACCTCTAGTGTCGTTGGAGTGGATGCAGTTCTTCCAGTTGTCGTCCCGTTACTGTTGCTTTCGGAGGTGTCTAAGGTCTCCGTAGTTGTGCTTTTTGTAGTATCAATCTCTGTAATTAATGTAAGTCATGTGTATGTGTGAAAGATAGAGCAGCATCAGGACTTTAAATGCACAATAAAAGGTTTTTTTAAAAACTACCCTGTTAAATATTTTCTGTAATGCTACGAATATCCGATTTGTCAAGGCTTTTTTGCAATTTTGTGATATGGAGGTTTGCTGAACAGGGATTTTCTCTTTTTCCAGCCTGGAAACAGAGCAATCAAGACAAGTGTTTCGGGACAGGCAGAATGCCAGTTGAAACTCTTGCTCAGATACCTCTGGCATGGTGCCCACAGAAGCCCCTCAAGAGGGCCCTGCAATGCCCAGTTCACCCATCTTGGGCCTGAGACAGTCCTTAGCCCTGGTTCCTCGCTCCAGCCAGACTGGGAAATTGCACCATCGCTGGCTCTATGCTTTCCCACCTTTCATGAAGGACGGTGATGGTGGGAGCAGTTCTCAAGTGTTGTGGTAGTTAATACAGAAGAAAGCAGGGTAACAACCTTTTACATCCATACATTTTTGCTTTAAAAGGTGCGTGGGAGGGGGGGAATTAAATGCCAAGATACCCTGGCCTTGGGACTCTGACCTCCAATAACAGTCTTGAACTGTGCAGCCCTTTAGGCCTGGATCCCTGGGTCGATTAGGAGAGTAACTGAATGGTGAGATCAACCCAGGACCCCCAGATGCTGAGACTCCTGCCGCAGATCCGTTAAAAGGGGGGAGGGGGACAGGACAGGGAGGTGTTTGGCTGGATTCCATGTCCCCGGGGCCCCTTTCCCTCTCAGTGAACCCCTCGACACAGGGCAAGATAGACGTGCCCCACGGGGTCCCATCTGCTGCTCCAGCCATGAGCCCAAAGGAGGAGCTGCCCTCTCTTGAAGCTGAGCCCCTCCCTCACGCTTTCCCGGAAGCCCATGGAACCCCCTCCCCGCTTCAGTGTGCCTTGGTCCACCCAGTGGTGGGCAGGGTTGCCATCTGGCTGTTTTTCCGGCCAAATTCGAGAAATCTGGCCGTATTTCTATCTGCTTGGCCGTGAAAAAAATGATGTCTCCGGCCAAATTTATTTGGCCGGAAATTTGGCTGTACGAAAGTTGCTTGGCCGTGAAATCAGCCAGATGGCAACCCAGCCGCTCTCCTTCCCTCGCGCGTGCACGTCACCGTGAGCAAAAGGAGGACAAGCACGTCCTCTCAGTTGTCCGACACGCCCGCTTCCTCTGAACTCCCGTCACACACCCCTTCGGGACCTTGGCGCCCGGCCACGCCCCCTTCCCGCCTGTGACCCGAGCAGGGGCGGCTCCTCCTCCATCAACACCACACCCATTCCTATGACGGCTCGTTCCAACGCCACGCCCCTCGGCTTCCCCACCCATCCCGAGCTCTCCTTCCCTCGCGCATGCGCGTCACCATGAGCAAAAAATAATTTGGCCGAATTTGGACGTATTTTGACTTGAGTTTGGCCGCAGAGCCAAACTGCGATCTGGCAACCCTGGTGGTGGGATTCAAAGAGTTTAACAACCGGTCCTCCGACCTCGTGATTTCTTCCAACAACAAGTTCACCAAACTGCTCGGAAATGTTAACAACCGGTTCTCGCAAACCAGTGCAAACCGGATGAATCCCACCACTGCATCCACCTCAAGGGAGACCTGCATTTTTTGACTTTCTTCCTGGAGGAGTTTCACGGGCAATGCAGGGGTGTGTTACTGAACAGCATCAGTTTCACCTCAAAATTCACCGGCAAAAGGGCCCCTGGGCTCCTTCTTGGAAAGAAGCTGAAATGGGGGGGGGGGGACGGCAAGCTCCTGACTGCTTTCTCTGCCAAACATAAGCCTTGAATGAACATTGGTGGTGGTGGGGTCTTTTTTGAAAAAAGTTTTTTTTTTGTTAACAACCAATAAAACCACCTTTCAATTTTACAGTGTGTCGGTTGGGTACACATATCTTGTGCGCTTAATCATATTATTGTACATTTCTGACTTCATTATATTTATAAACCGTTCCAATCATCATTTTATAGCATAGTGTTCAATTATTATATTATCATTAACATTCTCATTTGTATCTTTTAAAAACAGATCTCATTCTTGCTAAGTTATATCCATTCTTTTACTCATTTGAAATTAATTAATTATAATATATTATGACTGTTGGGGGGTATCTTGATGATGGGGAGCAATGCCAGAACATGTGGCATCGCCTCCCACAGGACCACCAGCATCCCCAAAGGTGGCAGTAGGCAGAGTTTTCCATATTGAGCCAAAATCAAGGAAAAAACTAGCAGGAAGGAAGTTCAAAACTCATGTCAGAACAGATGACTTCACAGAAGGGAGGTGTGGAGGCTTGGACCCAACTTCCAGCGGGAAGAGAGAGTGGGTCGATCATCCGTAACTGCGTTTGAAACCCATGCTTGGGACAAAGACATGTTCTATCGTCCCACAAAAATTGAAAAAAATAAAATAAAGAAATCCATAGAATCACAGAAAAATAATATACGAATACAAAAGAAAACAAAAACATACCCAAAAACTCAAAACGAATGAACTGGGCCCTTCCTAACAAAGGGATGCCAAGGGCTGGCAGACATGGCTGCTTTCCCGGAGGTGCCCGTTCCTTGCGCCAGGGGTGAGGGGCCCTTCTTGGGCAGTTTGGATGCCGGGGCAGGGAAGGGTCTTCCCAAGGCATGGGATCCCCTTCCGTCTCCTGCTCCTCGGGGCAGGAGAGCCAGGCTGGGGGCACATTTTCCAGGGAAAAGTTTGCGTTCCAAGGACAAAGTTCTCCAAGTCCAAGGGAGAGGCAGAAGGTGCCGATTGGGGCACCTGCCTTGAAAAACTTCTTCCTCCCAGGCACTTGGCTCCTTTTCCGGTCCTTTGCCAAAGATGCCCTTCCCTGGGACAGCCGGCGTGGAGCGCCCGGTTCAGGGCGGAGGCTTTTTCCCTGGACGTCAGTGGGAAGCAAGGCTGGCATGCTGCCCAGAAGTGCCACCAAGCTGGCCAGCCCGGTTTCCTATGGAACGCCAGGGAAAGGGCCTCCACGCTGACCGGCTGGTCTTGCCCTCCCAGGGATGTTTGGCAACGCACCGGAAGGGAACGGGAGCACCGAGAGAGAGGGAGGGAGAGAGAGACAGGGAGGGAGGGAGAGAGAAAAGGACCCGCTATTTCCATCCTTGCAAGCAGCAAGTAGCTGACCTCCCTGATGTGGCCTGTGCAAGAAACCCCTCAGCCGGACCCCAGAAGGGTTGCCTGGCAGGGGGGTCAGCAGGACCCCCCTGGGCTCCTCCCGAGAACCAGCAAACTAGTCCTCCCCCCCCTTCCCCCAAATCCTTACTCGCAGTGATGATCAGGAGTAGGGCCGCCCAGAAGCAGAAGACGGCAGGATGCGCCCCCATTCTCCTGGCATTGGTCCGTCCGGGCGGAGGGCCGCGGGGGAGAAGGCAGCGCCAGGCACTTGATGGCCGAGGAACGAGCGCGGCCTCTCGTGCTGCTCAGCACCTGGGCAGGATTGAAGCTTGGAAGGCCAAACAAAGATTGACGGAGGGAGTGGTGGCACTTGGCAAATGCCACCCCAGCCTCAGGGAGGATGCTGAAGGAGGTGAGGCTTGGCACGCCCGGAAGGCAGCCTCGATGCCAGCCCGGCCATACAGGGCGACCCTGGCGGACGGTGGGCAGGCCTGGGAAATAAAGTCACGGGGCAAAGGCGGAGGGTCAGTTCCTCCTTATAAGTAGGTGCCAAGAAGTAGCCCGCCCAGGGTAAATAATCTCAATAAAGACGCTGGGCAAATATTTGCAGGTAAACCTGTGAGCCCAGCTGGGCACTCCCAGAAACCTGGGAGAAGCAGAGAGGGGACAAGGAAGACGTGGGGACAGGGGTTACGGGAGAGCAAAAGGCGCAGAGAAGAGCAACCAGGAGGATGAGGGGACTGGGGGCTCAAACATACGACGAACGGTTGCAGGAACTGGGCTTGGCTAGTCTGGGGAAGAGAAGGACCAGGGGGGACAGGATAGCGGTCTTCCAATATTTGAGGGGCTGCCACAGAGAGGAGGAGGAAGGGGTCAAGCTATTTTCTAAAGCACCCAAAGGCCAGACAAGGAATAATAATGGATGGAAACTGAACAAGGAGAGATTTAACCTAGAAATAAGGAGAAACTTTCTGACAGGGAGAACAATCAACCCATGGAAGAGAAGTGGCCTTCAGAATTTGTGGCAGCTTCATCCCTGGAGGGTTTTTCAAGAAGAGATTGGACTCCCACCTGTCAGGAATGGTGTAGGGTCTCCCGCTTGGGCGGGGGTGGTGGTCTAGATGACCTCCAAGGTCCCTTCCCACTCTGACGATCTGTTTATCTGTTTTATCAAAGCAGGCCTCTTGGGCCATCCCCACCAGCCAAAGACCTGCGCCCAGCCCAACCCCCTTGGGAGGGCACCCCAGCCAGGGTCCTTCGCAGGGGCGGGTACCTTAGAGGTCTTCTAGTCCAACCCCTGCTGGAGCACCATGCCAGACAAGCCCTTCTTCCAGGGATGGAGCACCCACAGGTGCTGGAGGTTGTACTGGCCCGCTCTTTCTCACGGTTGGGCAAACGGGGCACCTCGGCCTCCCCTTGCTGGCCCTGGGGGGGAAAAGGCAGAGCAAGGCCAAGGAACTGCGGGCCCCTGGCAAGAGCAGCGGCCGGTTCAGCCCGCCGGCCCCGCAGCTCCCTTCGCGCCCCCCCAGCCCCCCAAATTCATCTCCAGTGCGCCACTGAGAAGGAGGAAGGGGAGCCGCGGGGATGCCGCGCTGCTCTCGGCCGCCTCGGGAGGCTCCGACCTGCCAGGCGAGGGGGGCTCATGGCCGGACCGGGCTGGGCCCCCAAGCGCTGCAAACTAGGGCAGCCCAGGTCGGGGTCGAAATACCCTGGCCCCCTCCCCAGCCCCTTCTTCCCCAGGGGGAGAGGCCCCGGGGAACCCCGC